ATCGTCAAACGAACAATAATATATATAAATACCGATACATATAATATAATAACGCAAATTTTGAAAAAAAACTTAACACTCGTTAAAAATGATAAATGCGACGAAAAAAAAAAACGCGAGAAAAAGGAAACCGATTTACCACGGCCGCCGCAAACTATCGAAAATTCCGGGCGACGGATTCGAAACCACGACCCTCGAGTCACCTGTCCTAACGCCTAACCAACCTAGCCACCTATTGAGATGAAAACCGGAGTCAAATCTATGACTCTTAAGCAGCGTCGCCGTGCACGCGAAAGGCGAACGCCGTTTGGACGGCCGTCAAAGGGCGATGGGCGGGCGATCCAACCGCTTCGGCGAGCGGACGACCGGCTCCGCCGCCTTCGGACGTTCAAAACGCGATATTCGCGAAGAAAATCGAACATCGAGACGCATGTATTTATGCCTGTATATAGCGGTACCTACTCGATACCTACTCGGTACCTACTCACGTTTCCGCTCACGTTTAACCTCCCCTGGACTCGTTTTTGAAAAAGTAAGGACTCGCGCCGGCTATAAATTTAGCGAGGAACTCGAATACGTCGCCGACGGGGAGGTCGGGAGACTCGTAGAGGTGCCAAACGCGACTCTAGTCGAAAAAGTCGAGAAAACCGTCGAAACGGCGAAGACGCGGCGCTCTCGGCGATCGATTCGTCCGCCGGGATACTCGTTTTTGAAAAAATATGGCAGCACGCCGACTATAAATTTGGGGGGGGACGCGAATAAGATCCAAACGGGGAGGTCGATACCCCCTAAAACGCCTAAAACTCGAATTTTCGAAAAAAAACGGCAAAAAGCGCGGGCGACGGCGGCGCTCGGTTCGCACGTGATATCCGCCGCGGAGGGCCCGCAGAGAAAAGAGTACGGCGTACTCGTAATAGTAAATCTAGCGGGGAACGCGAATAAGGTCCGAACGGGACCGCCCGAGGCCCCCGGGAGGGGTAAAACACAAAAAATTTGAAAAAAAATCGTTAATTTCGAGAAAAATCGTGAAAAGCGATAAGGAGGAGTGATAACGCAGCGACGGCTCCGCCGCCGCCGGGAGACCGACCTCCGGGGGAATTGAATTTTCTCATTGGCTCTCTCTTACGATGGTTCGGATTTAACGCATAGGGAGCGCCACACGGGTTTTCGTTTTATATAGTAAGACTAGATTCCGGTGTTTGTCATCCCGCCTACGGCGGAAAGACTGTGTGGGTGGTGGTGCATCTTTGTCGGCGATGCTGGGTTTTTTGATCTTAGCCTGCGGCGTGAAGGGGGGGGGGGGGGGTCGTCGGGTATTGTGTTTTGTCGTGTTGGCAGCACTGGTTAAGCGGTAATTTTTGAACTCGGAAGAGTGTCTAGTCGTAAGTCACCGCGATTCAAGTCGATCGTACGACACAGCCGGCCAGGTAGGCAATCCGACTACGTCGGATCGCAGACCATGCACCGGGCGTGTATGCCTGGTTCTGGAGTGTGTGTGATGAAATCGGAAATTCTGATTCTGGGATTGAGTGTCTAGCTATCAGTCATCTCGGGTGAAAGTCGATTCCTGAGTGTCGGATGCAGTGGGGGTGTAAGTCGCTCGTATGCAAGTAGCTGGTCAGGTAGGCAATCCGACTACGTCGGATCGCAGACCATGCACCGGGCGTGTATGCCTGGTTCTGGAGTGTGTGTGTTGAAATCGGAAATTCGGATTCTGGGTTTGAGTGTCTAGCTATCAGTAATCTCGGGTGAAAGTCGATTCCCGAGTGTCGGATGCAGTGGGGGTGTAAGTCGCTCGTATGCAAGTAGCTAGTCAGGTAGGCTATCCGACTACGTCGGATCGCAGACCATGCACCGGGCGTGTATGTCCGGTTCTCGTATGTGTGTTGAAATCGGAAATTCGGATTCTGGGTTTGAGTGTCTAGCTATCAGTCATCTCGGGTGAAAATTGATTCCCGAGTGTCGGATGCAGTGGGGGTATAAGTCGCTCGTATGCAAGTAGCTAGTCAGGTAGGCAATCCGACTACGTCGGATCGCAGACCATGCACCGGGCGTGTATGCCTGGTTCTGGAGTGTGTGTGTTGAAATCGGAAATTTGGATTCTGGGTTTGAGTGTCTAGCTATCAGTCATCTCGGGTGAAAGTCGATTCCCGAGTGTCGGATGCAGTGGGGGTATAAGTCGCTCGTATGCAAGTAGCTAGTCAGGTAGGCAATCCGACTACGTCGGATCGCAGACCATGCACCGGGCGTGTATGTCCGGTTCTCGTATGTGTGTTGAAATCGGAAATTCGGATTCTGAGTTTGAGTATCTAGCTAACAGTCATCTCGGGTGAAAGTCGATTCCCGAGTGTCGGATGCAGTGGGGGTGTAAGTCGCTCGTATGTAAGTAGCTAGTCAGGTAGACAATCCGACTACGTCGGATCGTAGACCATGCACCGGGCGTGTATGTCCGGTTCTGGAGTGTGTGTGTTGAAATCGGAAATTCGGGTTCTGAGTTTGAGTGTCTAGCTATCGCCTATCAGGCATCTCGGGTGAAAGTCGATTCCCGAACGGACAATCCGCCTACAGCGAAAAGTGCTCGAAACGGCCGTTCAAATATGAAAAAGTATACAGGAGGTAATAAAATTGTATTTGTTGATAATTATAGAGAACAGTTATCAGCGCCGGTATTCTGTAAAAAAGTATAAACAATTAGATACAAGGCTACAAGCTTGTATCTGTAGTCAATAATAGTATTCAAAAGCATTCTGTAATAATGGGATACAAACTGGTTACTATTTTGTATTCTTGTATCATTTACTGGGAGTTTATAGATATAATGTATCTTTTACTAGGAGTTTATAGAATTAATTGTGGTTGATAAGAAAAATTTTTGAATATTGATAAGTGATAAGCTGCTATTTAAAAACTTTTCTGTTGTTTTCTTCACAAATTTACAAAATGATTAAATAAATAAACATTTTATTGTTTTACTTACATTTAAATCAAATTTATGAAAATGTCACTTCGGTAAGTACCCGAATATATAATAAATATATACTATACATTTAGGTTAAATATAGTGTTAAGTGTTCAAACATTGATTACATTACATTACATTCATGGCCACATTAAAATTTGATGAAAATGCATTTCTTTTTATTTTGAATATTCAAAACAATGTAATTATTAATGTATTCTATTCAGCAGTGTAATATGTATTTTGCTAAGTCACAATGTATATACAATGATTATTATACACTTAAACTTAACACTTCATGTATAATGACCAATATTATTTATGTAAGGAAAAAGTCTACCGAACCTATAGTTCGCGCTAATGACGAACAAATTAAGTTTCTCATTGACTATATGGGACGACATAAAGATTTTGCAGCAGGACGTTTCATTGGTGTGCAAGGGAAGATTAAATTAAGATCACAGTGGGAATCTTTAACAAATAGTTTAAATGAAATTGGACCAACCAAGTCATCTGAAAAATGGCAAAATGTAATATATACATAAATACTTATAATATATTTAGCATAGCATTGTTTTCAAAAGTAAGTAGTCGTTATCGATATGATTTTAGGTGTGGAAAAATCAAAAACGTATTGCTAGACAAAAAAACAAAAATGTACGCATATCACAGCGACAAACAGGAAATATCTCACTCCATAGTGAATTAGAGGAAAAATAAGTAGCGGTATTAAATATAATAGGCAAAGAAACCTCTATTGGATTTGGTTTAAATGAAGGATTTGAACATCCATCACTTTTAAGTTTTGATCAAGTATAACTTATTTACCTTTTTTTACCTATATCATACAAATTTAAAAAAAAATAATGGTTATTATATTTGACTTCTAACAAAAATATAGATAAACACAAACATAAATGAGTATACAGATTTAGAAGTTGCTTTGTTGGATGAAGAAATGAATAATGAAGATAATTCTGAAATTTTAGATGGAAATATATTGAAGGAAAATAATGAGTTACACAAAAGCGATTATCTAAACTTAAAACCAAGTATGTGTTTAAACATTTAAAGTTCTTTAAGTATATAGGTATATAATTGTAAATAATTATAGGTACTAGTGTAAATCAAACAATGGACATACCATTACAGTCTAGTCGTCGCTCTAACAGAGATGTCCCAAGTAAAAAATCATAATATTAATAAAAGTGCTATGCAAAACAAATTATGTAATATATGTTGTTTAATATATTTCAGCTATGAGTAATAATTCAAAGAAACCCAAGTTAGACACTTATATGGATTTGGTGAAAGGAACTAACGATGGTTTTATAGTATGTTAAATTACATTATCTTTAATTAAGATTTTTAGTTAAAGTACACCCTCACATTATACCTTACATTTATTTGTTTGTAGGCAATAGCAGCTTCTCTGGATAAACTTGCCACTGCCATGCAAAATTCAAGTGAATTAATTGACCATGGACTCATGAATATTGCTGATGCAATTTCTAAACATGCATAGTCAATGTACATAGTATATATATAATAGTTACTATTATGTTATTAATTTATTATAAGGTTTTTAATTTTTTTATTCATATTTTATCTAAAAGGTCTTATTAACTATATAACCTACTACCAAACTATTTGTTTTACTATCAAAAGGCTGCTATTTTAATTTTTAAAAATTTTGTATTCAAGTTTTCTATCAAAAAGAATGTTATTTTAAGTTTATACGTTGTTATTTATATTTTATCAAAAAGACTGGGGTTTATATTTTAATTTTGTTTTATTTAAATACATTAACAAAATATTTTATGAAAAATATGTATTAATTATATTTTGTCTAATTCTTCTAGCTTCCATTCCATGATCATTGATTATATTAGCAACAGGAAGTAATTCTTGTTGTTCTTGATGGTTTTCATCATTAACCACATTTTCTTGGTTATTATAGTTAACACCCATCCTAAAATGACATTAAATAATTGTATAGCTTGTAATTCATGTTCAAAGATAATAATAATATTATACTTAATTACCATTCAAGGCACATATTATGTAGTATCACACATGCAATTACAATAAATGCTGAGGTCTTAGGTCTATAGTGTAATGTTGAATATTTAGATAAACATCTCCAACGCATCTTCAATACTCCGTTACACCTTTCTATACAATTTCGTACTTGGCAGTGTCGTTTGGTGTATCTTTCTTCAGGGCTACCTTCTGCTGCCCCAAGCACAGGTGTTAATATAAAGGGTTCAGCACGGTATCCAGAATCCGCTAAAAATTATTAGTTAGGGTATTAAATTTAAAAATAACTAAGGATGAAAATGATGAAATATTTATAGTTTTTACCAAGTAGAAAATATTTTCCAATTCTTTGTGTGTGCAACCTATTCATTTCAGTATGAATTATTGAAGAACTGAAAATAAATTGATCATGCACAGTGCCAGGAAAACATAAGACATTCATAATTCTCAATTGATTATCACAAATCTAAAAATTGTATATTAATATTTTAAAATTACTTATACACACAAGGTAATACATTTATGGATATTACAACCAATTAAGTACCAATTTGTTTATTTATGGGTATATTTAAAGTACATTAATAATAAATACTAAATACCAATTGACAATTTATAGAATGATATCCGTGATGATTCTTATACGCCTCTTCATTATCTAAATGAAATGGTGTTGCAATAGCTACTTGTGTTCCATCTATACACCCTATAATACCCGGAACCCCCATTAAATCTCTAAATCTAAAAAAGAAAATTTACATTCTAATTAATGAGTTATTTAAATTAATTTATATTTATAACCACACACACTGGTTGGCGACAGGGGCGGAGTGAGATTTACCTATTTTGGGGACGCAAGTAGTATGGTAGTAGTGGTCGTTTTTAAAAAGAAGTTTTGTTTTATGATTTAAAGATGTTTACACCGTCACTACACACACACCCACACATATATAATATATATTATTTTAACCTTATCTCCACTGCTTTTCTTTCAGCATCATTTTGTGGAAATCTGACCCAATCACTTAAACAAACTTCATACAAGGATGTAGCTACCCTTGTTATACAACGGCTAACAGATGATTGACTTATACTACCTAAGTAATCTTGGCCGACACATCTTTGAAAAGATCCAAAAGCAAAAAACCTAATTGCTACTAATACCTAAAAGATAATATTACGCACACAATTAGAATATACATGATTATACATAATATTATGTATATTATAATAATTTATAAATTTTCTATATTTTATACTAACTTGCAGTTGTAACGACAATCCATTTTTACGTTTTCTTTGCAGTCGTTGTACATTGGATAACTTGTCAATAGTATATAAAGCCAAATTTTTTGAGATTCTAAATAATTTTGTAAAATCGTATTCACGTAAATCAAACGGATTGTATGTGTCTCTAAGTCTTCGACGTTGGATTTTTAATGCATAAATGGCTTGATGTTGTTCTAATTCATTTAAAACCAATATATGTGCCACAAAAGCCATCATAAGATAAAAATAATATAACAAAATAAGTCACAACACGAACAATATCACTTCTAAAAATTACTTAATTAATACAAAAATCATCAATCAATTTTAATAAAAATCTTTATCTGTATCCAAAAAACAATGATACAAAATATTTGTAACCATACCATTGAGTGAGCTACAAATAAAGATACACTGTTGTAGCCTTTGTATCTTAAAAATAGTTACAGAATACCCATCGGTTACAACGAGGGTTACAAGTATTTTGTATCCAAAATAGTAGATACAACTTTGGCTACAAAAGTTACAGAATACCGGCGCAGTACCATTCGTATCATTATATTATTCATTATACGCAAATGCCGCCGTAATATTTTCAATACCCTCGCGTACCTACGAACTACAGATTATAAATTAAGATACTGTTTACTTAAATTTATGTCCCAACATATAGATCGTAGAAACTGTATTATAACATAGCTTGATTTGAAGGTATTGAATTATTACTTATTTAAATATAATACTTAAAGTAAAATCTAATAAATGGTAAATAAAATAAATACAGCGCAATTAAATTAATATTAATTTACCGTGTATTATTTTTTAAGTTCAACTATTAATGTTATATTAAAATATGAAAATAAGTAATTACAAATATTTATTTAAATTAATAATATGTTTGTAGTAGGTATACCTAAAGTATACCTAATATAGTAATATAATAAGTATAGGTAATCTACTCGTAATGATAATAATAATACTCTAAAATCTTTATTTATCATTCTGTAATTTTTAGAGATCGGGTACATTGACTGAGAAAAATAACTAATTTAAAATGTATAGTTGAAATATATAATGATAACAAATTGTAACATAAATTTATTAAAAAATTATTTCTATAAGTAACAGTTAGTTTAAAATTACCTACTATACAAACTACTATATTATAAGTATTACACAATCCAATGAATCAGTGGCGTGGTGAACATTTATAAACCTTGATGCCCAGCATATATTTCAGTACCTACCCCTTCTTTATCCCCTTAATATAATATATAATACATATAATTATTATGGAACTGTAAATATTTTAATTTTTTGTTGTATGTTATTGGTTACCATAATGTACCCAACCACCCCACCCCCAAAAAAAAAAATTCACCATGACGCCTGTCATAAAACCCCATTCACCACGCCACTGCAATGAATTACAGTTTATCAAATGCATAAAATCAATCAATAGATTTAGTATGTGACATATATTATTTATCACCACATTTATATTTAAAAAAGAAATTATAATCATATTACCTATATTAATATAATAAAAGGGCAACGAGCAACAATTTCCTACTATTTAACCATGAAAAAAATTAATATTAGTTCAACAAATATAATATAATTTATAGTTTTCTTTTTTTCTTTTTTTTTTGTGTCTGTGTACACGATAAGTAGTAGAAATAATGCTTCGATTTTCAACTTCAGTATCTTGTTCGATTGGAAAGTGAATATCGTTGGTGCATTGGGAGGTCAAAATTTAAAATGCTCAGTAATTTTCAAAAGCACCGGGAAAAACAACATAAAAATTAAGGAAAAACGGGAATTTTTACGCAAAATCGATTTTTCACAAAATTGAATTTAGTTTTTGGTGTAACATTAAAAAAAATGAAATTAGATACATGAAAATTTCACTGGTTGTTTATATTTGCATTTTCTATATACGATAACATTTTCAAAATATTTTTATTTATTTTGAACTGTTTAGGGACATTTTCAGTTTCCATTTTTTTTTAGTTTTTTTTCTAGAAATATCAATAAAATTTTATTTGTTGGTTAAAAAAGCTTGAAAATTTAATACAAGGCTCCTAGTATATTGTTTCAAAGGCAGATGAAAAATATTAAAAATCCTTAGTCACAATTTTTTTTTATTATAAGCATTTAAAGTTAAAAAATTGACAAAATATGGAAAAATCACGAAAATTAGAAATTATTTTGAGTTAAGAATTCGTAAAAATTTTTCTTTTTAAATCTAAGATTTGAAAATGTAATACAAGTTTACTCATAAGTTTGTCTACCTTTATCAATAAAAAAATCTCTACCGGAAAGTCAAATTAAATTTTTATGAGCGTTTGAAATTCAAATTTTTACAACATTGGATATTCACTCGATTTCTCATGTAGCGATTTCCTTATTTTGTTGTAATTCAAAAACGAATAACTGTAGATACATGAAAATTTCCCTGAATATTTATATTAGCATTTCCTATACACCATACAATTTTGAAAAAATTTTGACTCTTTTTGAGCTATTTACGGACATTTTCAGTTTTCAATTTTTTTAGTTTTTTTTTCTATAAATATTAATAAAGTTTTATCTGTTGGGCCAAAAAGTGTAAAAATTTAATACAAGGCTTCTGATATATTGTTACAATAGAAATTGAAAAATATAAAAAATACATAAGCACAATTTTTTTTTACAAGCATTTAAAGATCTAATTTTGACAAAATTTATCAAAATCTCGAAAATTTTCAATCATTCTAATTAATAAATTATAAAATGTTCAGTTTTTATAGCTAAGGATTGAAAATTTAAAACAAAGATTCTCATAAATAGTTCATACTGTAACCAAAAAATCTAAAAAATATATGTACACAGTTATTTTTTACAGACATTTGAAATATAAATATGGACTAAATTACATATTAAAAAACCTAGAATAACTATTTTAGTTTTTTTGTTGTGATTGAATAATATTATTCGTGGGTACTTGAAACTTCAAAAGTGTATTATTATATATCTATGATAGTATCACGGTTTTTATAACGCGTTGTAAGTACCTAATGGATATTGACGATATTGTGATATGATTAATTTGGAATTTATTATAGGTACCTATTATAGGTCAATTTTTTGTTTAATACCATAGATATGTATATAATATGTCTTATACCTAGACTGACATACCGTATCCGCTCAGAATGGTTTTTCTTATACAATGATATAACATCATTGAATTCAAATGTAATACCAGCCCTTATACTTATAACCTACTGTACAACAGAGCGACACCCACTTGCCCACCTTTTTTTTGATTTATACACTCCAGATAATTTTAAAAGTGCTCTCCTGCGTCTTAATGTTATTCGTTTATCTGCCGTATGCTTCAAAAAAATTTTGGCTATGATTCCTATACACATATAATAATATTAAAACAACTACCCGCATAATAATAATAAATTAATACTATAAACACTGAAAAATAATTCATAATGAAATATTTTATTTATTTTATTATTGTGCCTATACACTTTTAATATACAAATTATTTCAATTTTTAATTTATTCATAGCTAATACGATATACCAAAATATAAAAATGTGAAATGTGAAATATAAGTTTTGGTAGTATTTATTTAATTTAAATTTAAAAGCGTTGTTGTAAAAAACTCAAAATTTCAATTAAATTCTAATTCATGCCATAATAATATTATAAAATTAAAATTAATTAATTAAACTCACTATAGGTACTTTTTAAATAATGTACCTGGACTTTTGGTTGTTATCTTTTTGTGAAGCTCTCGTATATAATTGCCACCTGTATTAAATGATACTACAGCAGTACAGCAGTATATATTTTAGTGGTGTACGACTGTTTTTGAGAAAAATTAATTCGTTTACCGCCAATATGCTTATTAATGCACTATTAAACTGTTCGCAGATGTTGTTATCATTTATCAACATCAAGTAATAAACTTTTTGCATTATCAGCAACACGTCTAAGTGCAGTTGTCATTTCTTTCATCAAACCACTTTGCAATACTTCGTCGATCACAGTGGCGTCCGCAGGATTTTTCAATGGGAGGGGCTTGAAAATTAGTTACAATTTTCTTTTCATTTTGTCCAGTCTAATAATTTCAGACGTTTATTTGAGGTATTTTAAAATGTTTGTAACTTTTCAACTTTTCTGGTAGAAAAAATGCTCTGATCATAAGTTCCGATGCTCAGTGTATGTTTTTGGAAGCAAATTGGATCTAGTTGGTACTATTAGGAGGTTGAAATTGAAAATGCTCAGTGCTTTTAAAAATAATTAGAGAAAAAAAAATGAAAATTAATTTAAATGTTTGGTTATACCGTCTTCACTTGGATTGTATTTGAATAATTCAATTTTTGTTTTCTATAAATGTCAATAAAATATTATTTATCCAGTCAAAAAGCTTAAAAATGTAATACGTAAGTTTTTTTATTATAGCTAAAATATTAACGATACATAGGTATCATGCTTATTTTTTATAAGCATTTAAAGTTCAAATTTCGTCAAAACCACAGTTAATTTGTAGCTCAAAACTTATAAAATATTAAATGTGTATAGCTAAGGCTAGACAATTTAATACAAGGTCTTTCATACAAATAGTTCATACTTTTACCGAAAAATTACAGATAATTTATGAAAATTGGTATGTTACAAATACAATGTTTTTTCAAAAATGAATTCATTCTGGTAAGACATATTTGAAATTTACGTCTTGCTTACTATAGTTGAGAGTTTAACTTGATTAATATTTTTTTGAAAAAGTAATAATAATACGGGTAATGGGGGGGGGCTTTATACCTTAGCCCCCCCCCCCCCCCTGCGGACGCCACTGGTCGATCAAATTCAGTTCGTATAACTTTCTTCCAGTGCAAAAATATCGGGCACAATTAGAGTGTTTGCCAAATATATGGTATGGACTATTTAAAATATCCTTTCGCAAATTATGTTCAATTTATAATATGTACCACTTAACCTGGTTGTGGCTCAGATTGTCTACATTGAAAGATTTCTGTTAATTGTTATAAATGGTTTTTTGAGTAGGTACCTACCTATTTCTTTTTTTTATCATACCCAAATTGTTTGATAATTCAAGTAATACGGCTTATTTAAATAGTTTACAGCAAAACTACCTATTATAAAAGTTTTAGAGAAGAATTTTTTCAACAACTGAAATAAGCTCGATTTTTATATTTTTATTAATAAGT